TGCTTCTGTGTACAGCTCTTTGAAATTTAAAAGAAATGTAAGCCGAGCAATACCTCTAAAGTATACAGTTCTGTTGGTTCTGTTTAGTTAGCCCCTGCTGTGCGCTAGCTCAGACCCTAGCTTCATTAATCAATCACCAACCTGGGTTTCCAGTGTGGTTGTGTATGAAGTGACCAAAATTGACACCCAGCCTTGCGAGTCCCTGTGAAATTACGAGGTCGTGCCTGTGACAATGTTGGAATCCGTCAGCCTTGCTCAGCTCTGGGAACCGTAGGAAGAAGTCACGGGGCCCAGCAGCTGCAGGGTTAGTAACACGGGAGCAACCTGAGCTCTGACCAGTCGGCAGGCGGAGGAGATGGATGGTGATAAAGTATTTAAAGAATGAATTAAAAAGCAGATTTTACAAGATGACCCGTGAGGATATTTATTTCTACAGAAAAAAATACCAGGAAGTAGGGCTATTTTGCTTTTGTGGGGTACTCATTGTTAACTTCAGACAAAACAGACTTCAGACCAAGGAAAATGGCCAGGAATAGAGAGGGGAATCCCACAGTGATAAGGGGCCAGTTGTCCAAGAGACAAGACAGCACTCAGTGTTGGTTCTGTGCCTGCTGACAGTCAGAACATCCGGGCAGAATTGGACAGAACTGGGCGGAGGGACTGATCCGCTGTCACGGCTGGAGGGGCCACAGGCCTCTGTGGAAAGGGGCAGCTGGTCCAGCCCCTGAGAACCCGCACACTCTGTCCCCCACAAGCCACTGTCTGACATGACCCATGTTTGGTCATTAAAGACAGGGGTTAAGGCCGGGGATTTAGCTCAGTGGTGCTGCTGCCAGCCTCGCAAGCACAAGGACCAGAGTTTGATCCCTGGTACCAAAACAAAAAAGTGGAGCTCAAGTGGGTTGTCTGGGCCAGCGCCCCTTCCTAGTCCTGCTCTGTGACCCTGCTTCGCAGAGACACCAGGTAAAGAGGGGGCTCTAGCCCTCTCCGTTTATGAATGCAGAAGTGAGTGGAATGAGAGTTTAGGCCATCTAGTTTTATATAGAACAGTCTTCACTGTGGGACTCATACCTTCAAAAGTGCTCCCCGTGGAGATCCCCAGTGTACTTGTGAAGGTCACTATGGAACAGGGTGGCCACCTGACAGCCCTTCCACTGCCCACCCCACACACACTCACTCTCACACAACTTCCTGTGAGAGGCACAGATGAGTCACGGCTGCCAGAAATCCACAAAAACAACCTGCACAGCATGGCGAAGAGCGGCTGAACGGCCTGACGTGCGCTCTCGCCAGCGGAGTGGCGGCTCTGAGTGAGTCCTGGCCCTCTTGGTGTGAGGGCCCAGTTCATGTGGTCACCTGCCTAGCACAGCAAGCGCTTGCTTACCCCATTAGCACCACGCCCCTGTACTCTTTACGACGCCGGTGGTGTAGTACATCATTTGTACGTGTATTTTTTGAAAGTGCACGCTGCTTTTTAAACCTGTCACTGCGTAAGCAAAACCTCTGCAGAGCCTAAGCAGCGTCTCCCCCAGGGAGAAGGCTCCTGTTGGGGCAGACACAGGAGCGGCAGGCAGGTTCATGACGATTCTAGTGCGGGGTAAATAAAGCCACCTTAAACCGAAGGTTCAAACCTGGACTTTTTGGAAGTGGCTTTGTCATGGAAGACAAAAACCAAAGTGGCCTGAGGACATACATGCGTGAGCATGGCTAAAATTAGGAAGACTGGCCACATGGATCATTGGTCAAAGCGAAGCGACTGGAATCCTTATGCATTGCTCCTCAGCAGATAAAAGCACCGTGTTAAACACCTATCCTGTGATTCAGTGTTTTATTCCCAAGTTTTTACCTAAAAGAAGTGAAAGCCTGTGTCTACACAGACATTTACATTAATTTCCATAGCAGTTTTTTTTTTTTTGCAACTAGGCGCCAGTTGGAAACACTGAAATGTCCTTCCCTGGGTGAATGGACAAACTGAAGATATCTCTGTCTATAAAATTCAGTGTTTCTTGGCACCAAAAAAAAAAAATGATTTTTATATATGCACTGGCCTCAGTGAATCTCAAAATAATTGCACTATGTGAAAGACAGATCTAAAAAAAGAACTGAGTGATATCATTTATAAGAATTTGATTCAGTCCACAGTTGGAGAAGCAGGTCAGAAGGCCTAGAGGTGGAAAGGGGACCAAGGCGCACGAGGGAACTGAGAGGAGTCCGATGGAGGTGTTTGTTGTCTTGATTTGGGCGATGGTTTCATGGTGCAGATGTCTGTCAAGCTAACCAGTGGGTCACTTTAAATACTCATCAGAATACTTAGTATGTCTTCACGAAGGCATAAAATGATTTTTTAAATGGCCATAGGCCTGGAGTTCGGAGAGCGTGGTGAGTACTGTCATAAGCAGTAGCCACAGTTAGAGGGGTCGGTAATAAAGGAGGAAAAGGAAGCGAGATCAAGGTTTCTGCGTTGAAGACTCAGGTGCCTTTTCATTTGGCGGCTTAACAAGCTCATGTTCCATCATTTCCTACGCTATCCATACACCGTGATGCAGGAGAGAAGTTTGGATGATTAAAGGAAAGGAATGTCATTCCGGGGATAGTCTGTGCGTGTGCCGTGTTGCTTTAGGTCTCCTTCCGGCCCTGCAGGAACATTACTGTAAGATTCCTCCTCTCCCACCAGCAGCTGCAGGTGCGGTCCCTTCCTTTCACTAGCGTCAAGGGACCAGTGTTGTTTGTTGCTGAGGGAAGACAGATGTCAGCGTTCTCTTCGCTCCACGTGTCAGCTGGAGACAAGGCAGAGGCAGCAATCACGGGAGCTCCTTTCCGTTCGGTGGCTGTTCGTTACAGTGATTCTCAAAATGCTGCTGTCATGTCACCTGTGGCATTTTAAAAAATTTAGATTTCTGGGTTCTAACCTGCCCCATGAATCAGCTTCTGAAGATAAAGTCTGGACTCTTGATGGAGTTTCAGCATTTATTGCTCATTTCAACAAATGTGCATTGGGTGCTTAGAACTGAGTACTGGGTGCTTGGACTAGGTATTAATTTCGAGGAGCAATAGGCGTAGAGATTCTTGCCCCTTAATAGATTTTACCCATCTATTACGATGAATGAAGCATACTGAAACAGATACTATTACAACATAATAATAAAATAGTATTGATTGGGAAAACTGAAGGGTCGGAGTAGAGCTTAGTATAGGGATGGTGTAGAAGAAAGTAGCTTAGATTTCAAGTCTCTGAAGGCTCAGGGGAGTTCCCATAAAGAAGTGACATTGTAGCCACACTGGGGGAGAAGTGGAAGTTGGAGGCAGCTGAAAGTGTCTGCCCGGAAGGACTGTCCTGGCGGGGAAGGAGGAGGTGTCTTCAGGAAACAGTTCTCCAGGAAGACAGCGGGGCTGTGAGGCGAGGGGCGTGCTCAGCAGCCACGGTCTGGCAGAGTGCGTGGGCACAGCCAAGGGCTCTCCGCTTCTGAAGAAAAATAGACAAGGAGGACGAGCTTTCCTGGGCCCCATCCTTTGCTGGAGTTCTGATACAGCCGTCGTGGATGGGACAAAAGCGGCACTAGGGCCTCTTGTCTGTCTGTGGCCCCATAGGAATCACGAGGAGCAGGTGGGGCTCGAGTGTCAGGCGGAGGCTGACTTGGGACTCACTCAGAAGAGCTTGTGCTCACCAGTCTGAAGTCCTCTGGGATGCTCCTGAGACAACAGGAAATTGTACGACTTAGCAGGGGGCTTCTGTGCATGTGATCCTACTGAGTGCTTTCCACTTCTGTGCATGTGATCCTACTGAGTGCTTTCCACTCTCCCTCCCACAAACCAGCAGGTGAACGTTCCTGCCCCCTTGGAAAGACCATGCCAAGGCTCCAGGTGATTTAACAGCTCCTCTGGCTGCAAAGCTACAAAGTGGAAGCCCCTGGGTTCAGAGCCAGCTCTCTGAATCCAAAGTTTCTATAGTAAATCTTCTGTATTACTTTCTTATTGCTAGTGAAACAAATTTAACAGCGTCAAACAACGGAAATGTATTCTGGATGCCCACATGTCTAGAATGGCCAGAAAAGGCTGCGTTGGCCCTGGAGGGTGCAGGGAAGAATGGGTCCCTGTTCTTTTTGGTCCTCAGAGGCTCCCCGCACTCTGCCTCATGGCTCTTTCTGTACCTCACAGCCTGTGGCAACTTCCAACCTTCTTCCTTCTCTGTTGACCCTTGAGCTCCCTCTATAAGGAGACTTGTGATTACATTCTGGGCTGACCCGGTAATCCCTGCTTACTTGCCCATCTCAAGATTCTTCATCAGGTCTGCAAAGCCCTTTTACCAGGTCCTGTTCGTAAGCACCAGGGATGAGGCCGTGGATGCCCATGGGAGGTCATTAGACCACCACTCCTCTCTGGAGTTTTAGAACTTTTGTTTGAGTCTGATGCTAGGGGGCAGGAGTCCATTCATTGCCATTAGGGTCCAAGCTAGTAGCAAATAACTAGAGTCCATCGAAAAGCTTGAGGTCTCTATACTGAATACTACTGGTAGTCTCTTCTGTTTTTTCCTTGGCAACAGAATTCCAACAGTGCCAGTGGCTGCTGAGGGCCCGAGACAGAGCTTCTAGTCCCATTAAACTGGGTGGATCTCCAGGCTGAGGCTGGAAGGAAAAGCATATAAGTGTGTCTTTTACACAAGAGAATGATACGTGAGGGTAGCATGGATGATGCCGAAATGCAGGCAGTCTCCGATTGCCTACTTTGAAGCTATGAATTAGTGTTTCCCTTTCAGGGAAAGACTGTATATACAGCGTAACTGCCTCTAACATAGTGGAGACTCGGGCTAGGAATCCAGCTCAGTGCTTCCGCCAACTGCTTCGCAAGCCCAAGATCCCGAGTTCGATCCCTCGTACAAAACAAAACAAAACCCACAAACAATATGGTGAAGACTTGATCTAATGGGTACTGATTTTTAAAAACTTTAAAGCTCATTTCTAGCCTACCTGCTAAGGAAATCAATTCTTTTGCTATGATAAACATGTTCTTTTTCTCCTTTGGCCACATCTACAAAGTATAATGAAGAGAAAGGGGGAGATGGGTCTGAAGTTTTGCCTTTAACCCCCACGTCGCTGTGGTCCCAATCTCCAGGTCAGTGTGAAGCTCCGGCACAGCTTCCATCTGCCAAGCCTGTGAATCCAATCGAGAAGTCTCAGTTTCCCGTTGGAACATCTTTGAAGTATGAATGTCGCCCTGGTTATATCAAGAGACAGTTCTCCATCACCTGCCAGAGTGACTTATCCTGGACGAGTGCTGAAAACATGTGCCATCGTGAGTAACTGCACGGGGGCTCCTCTTCCTCAGTCAGACATCTGTGAGGCAGCTCAATTTGTTCACATTTTAGAACTGAGACACGTAGGACTTTATAACTTTGCCTGAAGTGCATTATGTGTAAATTATTCTTGTAGATCATATCTTCATCTCTACTTTGAGTTCTGGCACCTTGATTGTGAATTAGTTTTATAAGAAATCACCAAGAAAGGCTCGATTGAGAGAAGCTCCCCATCCACTCAGGGAAGGTCTCTGATTTTCACTAAAACTAAGTGATGAATGATTCAGAAGGAATGTGTGTTGAGTAACCACACAGAGAGAAAACTCCAGGCTTGGGACCTGTGAATTGCACCGGTTAAATTAGGTTATGACGCTTTGGTGCTCATCGAAGTACTTGTTTCTGGGAGTCACCGTGTGGGGATGGGGAAGAACTTGAGGGAGGTTCCTTTTGAAAGTGGCGCCTACATGGTAGCTCATCCTAAAGCAAACGAGTGAGTTTCGTCAAAGTGGCAAAATCTGCGAATACAAACCCACAGTCTGTGGTAAGCTGCAGTCAGATTGGTGTTGCGTGTACTATAATTCATACCTGACTCTAAAATTCTGTGTCTTTCCCATAGGTAAATCATGTAGAACTCCTTCAGATCCTTTGAACGGCATGGTGAATGTAATCTCAGGCATATTGTTTGGATCCCAGATTACCTACAGTTGTAATTTAGGGTGAGTTGAGAACACCTCGTAGTGCATGAGTTCTAGGACAGGAATATTACCATGTAGTCATCTCTCAGAAATGACAACTATCCTATGACTGCCTGGTTTTTAACCCCTGACCGCAATGAACAAAAGTATGACAAAATTAGGGAACAAATCTGTGTGTTTGTTGGAAGTCAGGGTAACCTTCAGTTACTATGAAGAAAGTAAGTGATACAACCTAGAGAAGAAAGGTTTACTTTGGCTCATGGCATTCATGGTCGGCCCTTGGCTTTGTGCCTGTGATATCCTTACCCATCAGGAAAATGCAAATTAAAACCACTTTAAGATACCACCTCACACTCTAAAATAACAATACCCTAAAAGGCAGACAGTATTAGCAAGTGTGTAAAGAAGTTGAAACCCTCATAGGTTTCTTGCTCACCCATGTGCTGAGCGAGGCACCAGACTAGCCTGAGGTCTTCAGCAAGGTGAACACTCAAAACCTCTTACACCAGCAACTGGGAAAGAGCTTTTCTGGGTGAATTCAGTCTGTATGGCTCCTTCAAATGTATAGACATCAGTCCAACAGCAAGAGAAATACGACACCACTAAGGGAATAAGATAAAGTACCAGAAACCAACCTTAAAGAAATGGACATCTTTAATAATAATAATAACTAAATAATTACCATAAAGTAGCTTGGTGAGCTACAAGAGAACATAGACCACCAAAACAAAGGAATGCAATAAACGCAAGATAAAACAGTGGAAAGTCAGTAGAGAAAAGCCTAAAGAAGAACCAAACAGAAATACCAGAGCTAAAGAACACAGTGATGGACCTGAAATAAAGACCCCAGAGATTTCACCGTTACCCTTGATCAAAAGAAACAGACAGGAAGAGTTAAGAAAGTCTACAAAAATTATGGGGCGCCATCATGGAAATCAGTACTAACCCTGGAAGGAACAAAGAAAAAGAGGCAGAACGCTTACTTAAAGACATAAGTAACAGAGCTTTCCAAACCTAGAGAAGGAAATGAACATCTAGATACATGAAGCCCAAGAATCCTAAGTATATGTATTAAATTTAAAGAGCCGTTTCCAAGAAACATTGCAGTCAGATCCTCAAAGTGCATTTTGAAAGTGGCCAAACAAAACAGAAAACTCTGTTACATAGTAGGCAACTTCCATAAGGCTATAAGTGGATTCAAAGTGATAAAAGAAAACAATTATCTGCCAACCAAGAATGCAATACTATACTAACCAGCAGGGATGCTCTTCAGAAATGAAGGATAGGTAAGGATTTTCCAAGATAAAAACTGTGGGAGCTCCTGGTCACTAGACCTGCTTTATAAGAAATGTTAATCTTCAAATTGAAATAAAAAGATGCTAATAACATGAAACAGTGCAAGTCACTGTAAAAGGAAAAATATAATTAAATTCAGTATGCTCAATTACCACAGTGATGGCTGATAGATTATTTTAACTCTAGTATAAAGGTTAAAAGACAAATATACTAAAAATAACCATGGCTACAATAATCTGTAATGAATACCCACCACATAAAAAACTGTAAATTGTGACATCCTTCACAAAACACAGAGGAAGAAAATTAAACTGTAGAGCAGCATTATATAATCAAATTTCAGTTATCAGCTTAAAATAGACTATATAATTCTAACTTGTTTTATATACGTACCATGATAACCACCAAGACAAAATCTACAGTAGACATACAAATGATAAAGCCATCAAACATACCACTATAAAAATCAAATCACAAAGGAAGATAGGAAGAGAAAAAGTGAAAACCCCTGCAAAGCAATCAAAAACAGCATATACGTCAGTGTTAAGTCCTTATGTTTAATAATTGCTTTAAATGTAAATAATAAATTCTTCAGTCATAGCCTGTGGTACTCAATAGATTAGCCTTAAGGACATACATAATTTGAAAGCAAAAGGATGGAAAAATATATTCTATAAAATGGCAACTGAAAGAGAGCAGTGATAGTATTTACATTATCCCCCAAAACATTCAGTCAAAACCTGTCACAAGAGGCCAGGCGTGGTGGCGCACACCTGTAATCGCAGCACTCGGGAGGCTGAGGCAGGAGGATTGCTGTGAGTTTGAGACCAGCCTGGCCTACATAGTGAGTTCCAGGTCAGTCTAGACTATACAGTGAGACCCTGTCTCAAAAAGCCAAAAAAAATAAAAACACCCCAACTAGAATTAGAGGTCTCATTTGATCCAGCTATTCCCCTGCTGGGTATCTTCCCAAAAGAATTAAAAGCAGTGGGTCAGGGATTTAGCTCAGTTGTTCCTCTGCCTGCCTCACAGAGCAAAGTCCAGATTTTGATCCCCAGTACCAAAAAAGAAAAAGAAAAAAAAACATCATACCACAGCTATATATGCATACCCATATTTATAGTGGCACAGCTTATAATAGCTAAATCTTGGAAACAGCTCATGCCCATCAACTGGTGACTGGATAAAGAAGATGTGAGTTTTTAAAAATGAAGTGGAATATTACTCAGCTATAAAGAATAAGAAACCAGAGACATTTATAGCTAAATGGATGCACATTGAGGCCGTACTCTTAAGTGAAATAAATAGGACACATGTAAATACTGAATAATTTTTCCGATGTGAGAAATTGAAAGTATGAATAAGGATCAAAATGTATAGTAGATAATGCTATAGGAAGAAAAGGCCCAAAGGGGAAGTGGGAGGGTGGGGAAAAGGAAAGAAGGGAAAAGAAAACATATGATAAAAGAAAAAGCAACAAAATCTTTGTAAATAGGGCGGGGCAGAGGGGTTGAAGAGAGGGCAGGGGAATGGAGAAAAAATAAGAACCAAGATGCATCATGTAAAGGTACAAGTTCCCAATGATGAGTGTCATCATATTGTGTACCTTAAATGTACCAGTAAACTTAATGAATAAAAGAGAGACAATGAATGTCATTATCTAGTGATAGTTAACCAAGAGGAAAATTATGGTTGTGAATATAAATGTACCCAACATCAGAGCACCAAAATATTAAAAGAACTGAAGAGAAGATTAATCAGCAACAATAATAGTAGAGGGCTTTAGTACTCTACTTTCAACAATGGATAGATCATCCGTACATAAAATCAGTAAAGAGTAGATTTGGGCTGGGAATTGGGCTCAGTGGTTCTGCCACCTGCCTCGCAAGCACAGAGTGCCGAGTTTGACCCCCAGTATCAAAAAACAAATAAATAAATAGTAGATTTAAACAACAGTAAACAGACACAGATTTATATAGACTATCCTATCCAACATCAGCAGAATATACATTCTTTTCAAGTGCACATGGAACAATCTCTAGGCTATATGATGCATTAGACAGAACAAATTTTAAAAATTCAAGAAGATGGAGATGTTATATCAAGTATCTTTTCCAGAAAGATGGTATGAAACTAGAGATCAGTAATACAATAAATATTATAAAAATCATAACTGTGGAAATTAAACAGCATAAACCTAAACAGTGGGTCAAAAAGAAATCAAAATGCAAATTAAAAAAATCTCGACACAAATGAAAATGGAAGTAGAACATAGCAAAACTTATGAGATATGGAAAAAGCAGTGTGAAGAGGGAAGTTTATAGTGATAAATGTCTGTCTAAAAGGAGAAGCGTGCAAGGAAATAACCCATGTATGTCACAGAACTACAGAAGGAAATCCAGTAAATAGCAGAAATAAAATAGAGACTACAAAAATAGAAAAGAACAATGGAACTAGGACTTTTTAAAGATAAGCCACAAAATGATATCTAAACTATGAAAAAGAAGGAAACTTCAAAATTACAAGTGAAAGATGGGATATTGCAACTGATTTCACCATGTTATAGATTATAAGAAACTGCTATGAATAATTACGTGCCGACACATTGAGTAACCTATGCAGTGGACAGATTCCATTTACTTACCAAGACTGAATCATGGAAAAAGAGAAAAGCTGAACATACCATTAAGTTAGGTGATTGAATCGGTAATTAAAAAATCCCAACAAAGAGAAGCTCAGGACCTGGTGACTTCCCTGGTGAATTGTACATGCATTTAAGGAAGAAATAACACCAATACTTTACAGAGTTTTCCCCAAAATTGAAGAGAACGGAACATTCCCAGCCCTTTTTTTGTGAGTTCTGCATTACCCTGACACCAAAATAAGATGAGGACGTGACAACAAAAGAAAATTACAGGCAGTACCCCAGATGGACATAGATGCAAAAACTATAGAGAATACTAGCAAAATTCAGTATCACATAAAGTGGACCAAATGAGCTTTGTCCCTGAAATTCAAGGATAGTTCAATATGGACAAATCAGTAAATGCTATCTGCCGTCATCGACAGAATAGATGAAAACAGCGTGTCCATTTCAACAGACGCAGAAAAAGTATTCTTCAGAATTCCACATCTTCTAATAACACTCGCCAAATTAGCTACAAAAAGAATGTACCTGGACATGATAAATGCCGTTTATCAAGCTCACAGCTAACATTATATTTAATGGTAAAAACCTGAGTTGTTATTTTGAGATCAGTAATATGACAAGGATGCCCATCTTTGCCACTTCTATTTAATATAGTATTGGAACCTCTAGCCAGAGTAATTAATTAGGTATGAGGGAGAAAGAAAAATCCACCAAACTGAAAAGTAGCAATGTGATAAATTTTCTCTTTTTGCAGACAATATGATATTATGTGTAGAAAGTCCTCATGATTCCATTGAAAAACTGTTAGAGTTGATCAAGTCCAGTCAAGTGTCACGATGCAAAGTGGAACATAAAAAGTAGCATATTTCTGTACACTGACGAAATACTCCCAAATAAAACATTGCCCCTTATAGTAGCATCAAAAATATAATAAGAATAACTTTAACCACAGAGGTGAAAGAATTAACATTAATAAAACAGTTCAGGAAAACTTGAAAAGGACACAGAGTATATGGAAGGATATCTTGTGTTCATAGGTTGGAAAAGTTAATATTGTTAAAATTTCCATACTACCCTAAAACAACCTCCAGGTCTAATAAACTCCCTAGTAAAATTCCGATGACATTTTACGAAAAAGTATGGAACGCAATCCTAAAATTCGTATGGAGCCTCAAATTCACTGAGTAGCCAAAGCAAGATTACAGAAAAAGAACAAAATGGACGTATGAGCTACCTGAGTTCAAAATATGCCGCAAAGCTGTCTGTGGTTATCAAAACATCAGAGTTGCAGCATAAAACCAGGTAGATAGACAGATGTTCTATCTAGAGGGCCAGAAACAAATCCACACATTTACAGTCGTTTCATCTTCAACAAAGGGACCGTGAACACGTGATAAGGAAAAATAGACTGCGATAAATGATGTTAAAAAACGATATCCACATGCAGGAGAATAAAATTGTAATCTTAGCTCACATTATAAAACAATAACTAAAATAGATTAAAGATTTAAATATTAAGGATTGAAACTTAAAATTACTAAAAAAAAAAAAAACCTAAGGGAAAAGTTTTTTAACGTTGATCTCAACAGTAAGGTTTTTTGGGATGCAACCCCAAAAGCACAGGCTATAAGTAGAAAGAACACAAATGTCCTTCAGCAGGTGACTGGTTAAGTGAGGTATCACCTAACACCATGGACCATAACTCAGTAGCAAAAAGGAAGAGTGTGTGTGTGTGTGTGTGTGTGTGTGTGTGTGTGTGTACACGAATTCTCCAGGGAATTGTGCTAAGTGAACAAAGCCAATCTTTTGTGGTCACATTCTGACTGATCCAATGCAGGTGACTTCCAAATGACAAAATTATAGAAGTGGAAATCAAGTTATGGTTGCCAGGGATTAAGAATGGGGAAGAGCAGTCAGGAGCAGGAAGGGTGCAGTGAGTGTGATTACACGAGATCAGGCCAAGGGGTCCTTGTGGTAACGGAGCTGTTGGGTTCCTTACTGTGAGGGTGGATACGCGAACCTGTACACGGGAAATCAGGTAGATGTCTCTTCCCTCTGTCTCAGCAGTGAGCAAGTACAATTTGAAATTAAAAACACAATACCATTAACATTAGCACCCCCCAAGTGAAATGCTTATGTATGTATAAATCTCACAAAATACGTATAAGGTACTGGGTACAGGAAGATGCATGTCATGAATTGTTTTAAATTTTGTAGCATACTGAACAACTAAGAATTTCTGACTGTTAGTATGAAGTAAGCATTCACCTCTTTTTGGTAAGCTTGGATTTCCTTTGTTCTAATGTGAATCTTACTGATAAAGCAGGCACATCCCAGAATTTATAGGTTAATATTTGCAAAGCATGCCAATTACACGTTAATGGAATATATACATCTGAGATGTGGTTGAAAAATATGGCGACTGTTTAAATTTTTAAAAATTTATTACAGCAAAACACATTGCCATTATAGTTTATTCACACCAGAGAAACTGTTCGGTATTTACACATGTGTGACTTATATATTTCACTTAGTACATAAGATCCTGATGAGATAATTGACCACGTGAAATAGGAAGAGAAGGGCTAAAGGTGTAGGGAAAGTGGGATGGGTAGGGGAAAGGAAACAAGGGAAAAGAAAAAAATAGGAGAAAATGGAAAATGGAAATAAAATGTTTATAAATGGGGAGGGGAGGAGGGGGTGAAGGGAGGGCAGGGATGGGGGAAAATGAGAACCAGAATCTGTCATGTAAAGGTACAGGATCCCAATGATGAATATAACTGTACTGTATGCCTAAAATGTACCAATAAACTCAATGAAGAAAAATACCCCAAAAAACATTGCCATTAACCCCCCAGAGAGCTCCCCTCACTTCTTACCCCATCGCTCCCTCCACTTTCTGAGGCATTTTGGGTGGCTCCTTTGTGACGGTCATGGTGCCACCATGTCCCGAGTTGATTCACACTCTTTACCTTTCACAGTCATTTTGACTTTGGGAAAGACCGAGAGGGTGTCAGGTCCAGTAAATAAGGTGGCAAGGTCACACTTGTGTTTTCACGGGCCTGCCTGTTGGAAGCACTTAGCAACAGCACTAACCATGATTGTGATCATGCCTTGTATGAGAGGGGACTTCCAGACCTGCTTCGGAAAGAGGAAAGAAAATGTGCTAAGGGTGCTCAAAGTGAGGGGAGCACAGTATTCTGAAGGGGATTAATGGCAATATGTCTTTTAGTGTAATGCATTGCAAAATTAACATCCACCATGTATTTGGTGGTACCGCTATACACACGAACATGTATAGCATCTTGCACTTGGGAAGTTTGCAATGTCTTTGAAAAACTAGGCTCGAAGGATATAACTATAATAATTTAAAGTCCACATGTCTCTAAAATTCCTTGGAAGCCGTACGGGAAGGGGGTATGTTGCCGGGATGTTAAGCATCTCACACCCCTTTTTCTGTCCTCTAGGTACCGACTTGTTGGGGCCTCCTCTGCCATGTGCATACTCTCGGAAAATACTCTTGATTGGGATACTGAACCGCCTGTTTGTGAGAGTAAGCGAAACGTTCCTTCTTACCACTTTTGCTAAGAGTCCAGCTTTCCTCTGGGATAATCATTTGTTTTGTGTGTGGTGCTGAGAATCAAACCCAAGGACTCATAGGTACCAAGTGAGTGGTACTAAGCCACCCCTCCAGCCTCACAAAGAATCGTAAACACACTTATCCAGTTCCTCTGGTACAGCCTGTCCGTAGGGTAGCCGAAGGCAGCTGCACATTCTCACAGATTGCCCCGGTGTCCTCGCAACTTGTTACCTGAAGTTTTCCTTGCTGCTGGAACATGCCTTTTCCAAAGTTGGGGCCTTAAATGGATAGAAGCCTTCAGATCTTATTTTTACCTTGGTTAACTTGGAATGAAGCTGGTCTTCACATTCAGCTGTAATAGCCATTCACCTTGGCGTATTGGTAGTGTTCCTGAAGCTGTGGGCTAACCAGCACTCTCACATACTGGGGGCTCGGGAAAACTTGAAAAGCCCGCTGCACGGTAGGACAGAAAGTTGGAATTTAATTTGGTCCATATATTGGGATATACACTTAGCAAATAATACAAATTCTTTTCAAGGAGTTCATTATATACACTTGTCATTGCCACATTCTTTAAAGTAGCTTAAGTTCACTATATGTTTCAAAGTATGCTTTGAAATAGTCTACTGAAAGGAAAGAGATAAGCTAAAATGACTTTAAAGGTTTCCTAAGAAACAAAATATTCATACTAAATTATGAAAAATACGTCTATACACTAGAGTGTTATGAAACCATAAATATAGTGTGAAGAAGCACTTAACATAAAAATGTGTACTTGATGTGAAAAAAGAAGACAGATAATGCATCTCATTGTTTTTGTTTGTGGTACTGGGGATTGAACTCGGGTCCCTTGTGCTTGCGAAGCAGGTGGCAGAACCACTGAGCTAAATCTCCAGCCCAACACATCTCATTTTGCTAAACGATGATATCTGTATCTCTGTTTTTATCTCAGTTTCTAATTTGGTACAGCTAAACCTCAGTAAATAGCTTTAAGTCTGGGAATTTGTTGATGAACTGCGACTTTCCTGCAGTTTCAAACCAAGCTTCTGTTCACTAGACTAGGTTTCTTCCTATGCAGATTAAGTGACACTCTGCTGTTGCTTACGCGTGACAGAGATCTTGCAGCCACACCAGTGAAATTGCTGTTCCAGTGACAACGCCACACAAGTCGAGATGGCTTAAAATAACACATTTTTCTAATGACTTAACGATGCTTTTTATATGCTTACCAATGTATGCTTATTGTCCTTTTTATATGCTTGTGAAGCACTAAGTTCAGATCTTGTTCCTATTACTAATGTTTATCTTTTTTATTGTTTTATAAAAGTTCTTTATATATACTTGCATTTTCCATTAAAGGTATTATTTTTGTTAAAATGGTTAGTATTGAGTACTTGTGTTACACTATTTTCTTTTAGGTTTTCTTTTAGGTTATTGTCTATTTTCTTTCTTAACAATAATTTTTGATAATGGAAGTTCTTTTTGGGGGAGCATGCTGGAAATTGAACCCAGGGCTTTGTGTGTGAAACACATGGTCTACCACAAAGCCACACTCCAGGCCCTGAAGTTCTGTATGTGAATAGTGGTCAATATATGATTTTTTCCTATTTAGTTACTGCTTTTTTTTTTGCTCTACTTAAATCCTTGCCTATTACGAATTCCCATGTTATACTCTATAAACCTTATTGTTTTGTCTTCGTGTTCAAGTCTGTGATTTGCATGTAAGGTAGCTAAGTTTTGGGGAGTTGTGTGTTTTTTTCATAGTGGACAGGCTGGTGATCTAATGCTGTCTATTGAAAAGACCATTCCTTGCACATTGCCATGCAGTGGAGTCATAGCCATTGATCAGATGGCGTTGTACGTTGGTCTTATTCTAGAGAGGCACTGCTATTTACCCATTAAATTACTGCAGCATTGTATTAAGACTTGTTAGCTGGTGGCATATTTCTTCTATGAGCTTCTTCACGATTTGCTTGGTTGTTGCTGACCCTTTGCACTTCCATAAAAATCTAGAGTCAGCGTGTCAGTTTCCACAAATGGAATCCTACTTGAATTTTTATTGTTTCTATTAACTCAGTAAGTATAAATTTGTGAACAATCAACAAATTTGCATTTTGAGTTCTAAATTCATTCATTGAGTTCTAAATGTTTTTTAAAAAACATTTAATTTCAGTAATATTTGCTGATTTACATTATATTCCATAGTACATTGCATTTTAGAAGTGTCACGTTACTGTAAGATCAGACCGAGGCACAATTGAGACCGCCGAGGCAGCCAGAATCCAAGCAACATAGGATGAGCTTATCACTGTCTGGGTGCAGATGGGCCAAGGGCGAGAAGGCCGCTGGCACTGAGAGGAGGGTGCTCGTGGTTATACAGGGGAGTTTAGGTAGGGGAGGGGGCAGTGGTTGAGAGGGTGGGAAATTTTAGCATCCCCTGGGTGACGGGCCTGGGGCAGGCTGATAAACAGGGCAGGCAGGCAGTGAGAGCAGCAGGGCGCGGCTGGCTTCTTGTTATCTCTGTGCTCCAGTGGCTGTGGGCAGCGGGGCTGCTAGGGCAAGGCCTGACTTGGAGACCTGTCATTACATTATAGAAATATTTTACATCTTCCATTACACTTACTCCTAGATATTATTTTTTAAAGTTCATTCTATTTGTCTGACCTTGGACCTAGCAATCTTGCTAAATTTACTTAAAGTTCAATAATTCTGCATATTCTTTAAATATGCTGCATAATTTGTTTGCAGGTGAAGTGTTTAGAACATTTAAATTTAATGTGGTTTCTGATATAGTTAGGTATAAATCCTATACCATTTATTTTCTGTTTGTTTCATGTTTCGTTCCTTTATTCCTCATTACTCACAGTATTAAATTTAATAAATTATTTTATTAGTCCAAATTTCTACTCAGCCTTTTTGCTATCTCTATTTTGTTATTTTATTTTTAACGAGTGACCTAGAAGTGATGTAAATCCTTGATTTATTATAGTCTAACTTAAATTGTGTTTTTACCAATTCTCAAACAATGCAGACAACTCAGTTCAACTCCATTTATATCCTCTTGCTATTTCCCTACTGCTATCTTTAAATTCCAGTAATTATTATTTTTGCTTTTATAAAAACATTTATTTGTTTAGTTATTTTAAGTCTCTAAGTAAACATTTCAGTATCTCTAGAGATACTGGGTCTTTTGTGTCACTGTGGATTTCCTTGGTTCTTGCGCATGTTATCATTGTGTATCTGGAGTTATATTTTAAAACTTGTCTGTGGGAATAATTTCAAGGAGGTAAATAATCTCAAGATAGTAAATGAGTATATCAGCTGACTTTGCATGCCTATGACAAAATACCTGAGATAATTAACTGAGAAAAGAGAAGGCTTATTTTTGCTCCCAGGTTCCCGTCCTTAAGCAAATAGCCCATTGCTCTGAGCCTCTTATGGCCTGAACATCAGCACAGGAGCACATGGCGGAGTGGAGATGCTTGGATCATGAACCCATGATCGAAGAGAGTGGAGGAGATGGGCCCCACAGTGTCCATTAAGTGCACATCCCAATGACCTAGGGACCTCCCAAGAGGCCTCTGACGGCTCGGACACTATCGCGCCCCCTAGGGACCACACAGCCCTAAAGGGCGACACTGACGCGTCTTCTTCCAGGGAGGATTTTTGCTGTTTTCACTGCACCAAAGGACACTCAAGCTGGGACCACTTTAATTCAGTTTTGGGTGTAGTCATATTTGGAGCCACCTATAGTACTTGAAGAGTTTTTTTCAATCTTTAAGACAGGTTATTTTCAATTAATCTTAGGTCCCAAATCCCACTCCTCTATTGTCCTAGTAAACTTTGAAAGGTCTCACCAGGGCTTCTGTTTTTGGCAAGTCCCAGGCTCCAGTTATTTTGTCTTGACTCCACGAAATTAGCAAAAGTCTACTCTACCTCTCAGTTGTTTCCTTCTTATTCAGCTCCCAGACCAAAGAAGCAGACCAGAGAAGCAGACCAAAGCTCTTGCCTGCAAATTTATGTCTTCTCAACCTGGACTCCCCACCTGGATTTGCGTCTTCTCCCTGCGCTTGGCCCAGTAACGCTTCACTATTTAGTTCTTTGCAGGCTGTACTTTCAGGGATCATTTCTATAGTTGGTGACTAGAGGAGTTTCTCTGATCGTGTTGAGTACCTAGTTTGTAAGTTGTGCTTGATCCTATTGTATTGCTGATTGTATCAATTGGGCTAAAGGGTTGTGATTGATTTAATGAGTTGTCTTCTCTGATGTTATGAAAATGAGAATGTCTGTGAGTCATTAGAGACTAAAAAGCTAAAGGGCAACTGTATCAGGAAGATTTAAGTAATAACCCAGGAATTAAACCAGCGACAACCCAACAACAAAAATAAAAATGCGAAAACACTTAAGCAAGACACAAAGACAGGCTTCCAGTTCACCAATGGCAAACAGTAGGGCAAATGAAGATGAAAGTCTGACAGTGAACCACCAGGACACCCTGAACTCATAGCACAGGAAGTAACAAAACAAATCAATCAGGCTCTAGAAAAATTCAAAACAGAAGTAATTTCCCAGATAAACATAGAGATGGTGAATAAAATGAAAGTCATGATTAGAGACTAGAACAGAAATTAAAAAAAAAAAAAAAAAAAAGATGAGCTCAGGACCATGATAGCTCTTTGGACTTCACAAATGTGTTCTTTAAATCTCCAGCATTTCTTACCTTTCTTGGGACCAGTAGAAGTGTCATTTGATGTGAATTATTGAGATTACCATAACCAGGAGCAGAAGCTTCCTTAAGAATTTAAAATTTTAATTTTGGATGTTTTGGGGTATTGGTTAAAATTTAGTTCTAGTTTAATACCATGCAGTGTACCATATACAGCGTCTATATTTTCACACGTATAAAGGGACTCTGCACAGATGTCTCTACATGGACATCGTCTTATGCTGTCAGCCTGGGTTTGATAAAATGGATGGATGAGGTTTCTATCTTTTACATGTTGTGAAACATTTGAGCTTACATTTGGAAGCATGTGTTGCTTGAAAGTTTGATGGAATGTATGTGAACATTTTTCTGCTCTTACAACTTTCTTGGCCAATTCTAGCTTTCTTTATCTTCTTGAATGAGCATTGGTAATTTATTTTCCCATTTCTCATTTAGATTTCTAAAATGTTTAACATATAGCTGTCTGCAGTCTAATAAATATGGTCACACATATTCTCAAATATATTCCATTTCTGTTTGTTATTCCTATTGTGATTTCTCTCTTACATTTCTTCTGCCAAAAGTTTTTATCATTTTTTATAAGCTCCAGTCAGTTAACAACCAAGATGAAAATTAATAAAACAAGGGGAAGAGAGTAAAACTGCAAACTCTATGATAACATAACCGTGTTTAAATTGAAAGGAGGAGGTTTGGACTCATAAGTGCAAATGTTTACAGGGAATGGTAGGGAAGCAGGACACATGCTGTTACCAGGACACTTACAAAGACTTACCTGTACGTTAGTAGGTACTAAAAGCAAATCATGAATATGAAACGAGTTTAGTGACTCAGCTTTTTCCCCCTCATCATTTCAATTCATTTTTCATTGAACTCGCTCTCCCTTTTTTCAGAGATTCCGTGCGAGCCGCCCCCGGCCATTGCCAATGGAGATTTCGTTAGCACCGACCGAGAAAACTTTGTCTACGGAATGGTGGTGACCTATCGGTGCGATCTTGGAGAAAGGGGGAAGAAGGTCTTTGAGCTCGTGGGGGAGCCCAGCATATACTGCACCAGCGAGGATGACCAAGTGGGCGTCTGGAGCGGGCCCGCCCCTCAGTGCATTGCGCCTAACAAGTGCACACCGCCGCGTGTGGACAATGGGGTCATGGTGTCTGAGAACAGAAGCTTCTTTTCCTTACATGAAATCGTGGAGTTTACGTGTCGGCCCGGCTTCGTCTTGAGGGGGCCCTCGCATGTGCGGTGCCAGGCCCAGAACACGTGGGGGCCGGAGTTACCGAGCTGCTCCGTGGGTGAGTGGGACCCAGGCTGGGAGCTGTGGGAGCCCCAGGGTCCGTGTGCTCTGGGAGAGGGTGTGTGAATGTATGAGTGAGTCGTTTTCTCGGGTTCTCGGGGTACAGGCGGGGTGTTGTTCACAGTGGGAAGCAGAGTTAAGTCTGGGCCGGGAAGGTAAACTCAGAAGAACTTGCAAGTTCTCTGCATACATCACTGCCTGCAGCCTCCCCTGGAGCATAATAATCAGGAAACCCCAGTTAGTGACTTGTCTGGCCAGGGGCCCTAGTATAGGCTCTGTGTGCATTAAGTGCCTAAAACAAAGCTGTGAGGCAGTGGCTGTTCGTTCCACGTTTTACAGAGACAGCGTGTCTTAGATTAGATGGTCTCCAAGACAGAACAGACACTGATATCTGAAGACCACAGCCCGAGCCTGCCTGTCTCCTGAGCCTCAGCTCTGGTGGTGAGGTCGGCGTCCTCCTTGGATTCTCCAGGAATGTGGGGTTCTTGCAGGAAGAGCAAAAGGAGGAAGGCAGCACTGCTGCCACCTGGGGAGCTCCCGTCACTGCGGCACTAGAGTGCAGGTGTCTACATTCATGGCTTTGGGAGCCACCATGGCCCGGGATAGAGCCAGTCTCACTGGGTTCAGAGTCACTGGCATTGCTGGATTAGAGGGTGTGGACAGAGCCCTGAGAGCCACTTCTAGAAGCAGAATGGCTCCTGTCCTTTGGCCACCATTGAATTTGGTTTATGTGCTTCTGGAGAGCAGAGCTAAACCAGAACTCGGCCGACAAAACTGTCACAGCTTTCAGGATTCTAGCAGAGCAGTCAGAAGCGAGCAGAGGGTGCTGGAGCTGGGGTTCGAGGGAGACACTGAACTCACCCAGCATGGCCCTTAAGCCAGGCATCACAGTGCCCTTGTAACCCTGAAAACAGATCCAGAACCCCAGAATACCTGTGCTGTCATTCAGGAAGTCGTGTATTGTACACCAGTACCCCATTTTACCCTAGAAAAAACTGAAGTCTAGAGAGAGGAACTGAAATTCTCGAAGCAGAATGGAAATGATTTTTTTTTCATTTAATTCTGCAAGAATTCTCCAAATATTTTGATTCCCCAAGTTCAAAGCAGTCATACAAAGAAGCAGAGGAGATTCTCGGTGACACTGCTCTGTGTACCCTGCCTTCTTGTTACCAGGACTACAGCCTTCTTAGAAGGCTTTGGCCAGGGGTTTTGCATCTGCTCCGGAGGACAGACGGGATGGCTCAGCAGCGCCGCCTCTGTGCAGTGTAGACGAGGGTCAGGGCTCTCCCTCACCCACACGGGTGCCCCGCAGGGAGGGTCCTGTTCTTGCATCGGTGTGGAAGCCAGGTGGGGATGTGAGCATGGATATCCTTGTTGCCTAAAATGTAGAAGTGTACATGGCATTGCCCGCCCAGACAGGAAGTGTGAAGGTTTAAATAACCATCGATCCTAGCACTTCTGTTCTGGATGAGCAGAAACTGGGAACATTCCAGAAGCAACTGGGGGCCGTGTAGCATAGGTGCATACTTCAGATGAAAACCAAGGACTGGGCGGTTCCTCCCAGTGCAGCTCGGCAGTATGTTAGCTTTGTCCCTTTTATCCAGAAACCCCCACCTCACCTGCGCGCAAGTTTGTGTGTGTATTTGGTTAGCAGTGGCTGCAGGAGACATCCACTAGTGTTTTACATCCAGTCCGTCATGATGATTTTCTTGGCAAGTTCGCCATTGAGGAAAAGTGATTTTCAGACTTGGACTCTTCTTCCCAGAGTGTCAGCTGCTCCCCAAAATCCCGCATGGGCAGCACACCCCCAGCAGTGAGGACTTCTCCCCCTGGCGGGGGCAGGAAGTGTCCCGCAGCTGCGAGCCGGCTGGAACCTCCGGGGGGCGTCTTCCTTCACTGTACCCACTCAGGTGTGGGTGCACAGGTGCTCAGCTGGTCCTGCGGTCACACGCTCTGCCCTTCGCATGGCAGGCTTACTCCTTTTGTTTTTTCTCCTAGAGAAAGTATGTGACGCCTTCCCAGACCAGCTCCCCCACGGTCGTGTGCTATCTCCGCCTAATCTCCAGCCTGGAGCAAAGGTGTCCTTTGACTGTGATAAAGGGTAGGTGTGAGTCTGCCTGCTCATCTGGACCTTAAAATTGAGAATGAAAATTTATCCAAAGAGGGAAGGTTTGGAGTGGCCTTAAAAATTGAGAGCCAGGCATGGTGGCAGACACCTGTAATCCCAGCACTCAGGAGGCTGAGGCAGGAGGATCACTGCAAGTTTGAGGCCAGCCTGGGCTACACAGTGAGTTCAAGGCCAGCCTGAACTACAAAGTGAGACCCTGTCCACAAAATTTAAAAGAAACAATGAGAGTTACGATGGGTGTTGTGGCTGCCTTGATGACCTGGGTCAATTCAAAATGTTTATCTTTCCTGGCCCTTTTATATTTGGGGAAGAGCCAGAAGTGGCCTGGAGCCAGATCTGGCAAATAAGGTGGATGAGGGTCTATAATCTTTTTATTTGATAGAAGTTGCTATAAACATTTTGAATCAGTTCAGGATATGGAGGTAGCCACAAAAAGACACCAAAGTACTCCAGAAAGTGTCAAGAATGTGGAGATAAATGTGCTTGAAGTGAGCAGGAGAACTTTGAGATGGATCATGGTAATGTGTCTTTTACTATGATAAATTTTTAATTGTGAAACATTCGCTATATTTTATTACATCTTATATATGACGGACATTTATTATTATATATGATAGAAAACTAAAGTAGAGGAAAATAGTAATCAAATTCTCCTAGAACTCAGTGGAGAAGAAAAGAGTATATAACACAGTACTAAAATCCAAAACGCGTGTAACAGAAAATTCCAGAATGATAAATAAGGGACACACAGCCATCACTAGGGGAAATTATATATGTTGGTGATAGGGAAAATTCTTTAAGAATCCACAAACAAATATTTAAAGCATGCCCCCCCCCGCAAATGAACTTCCATCCACCCGTGGCTCCCTGCACCACTGTAGCGGGGGAGGCGCTGTGTCCATGGAGTGGAGCGAGGGCTCACATCGAGGTGCTCCGGACACCTGGGGACTCAGGAGCTGAGACCCCATGCTGCACCAAGGAAGAGTGCGCCCAGGAGAAAAGGGAACCCAGGAAACCCACAAAGGGATTTTTAAAAAGGCAGATGATGACTGACTGTCAAGAGAAAATGTGGTGATGTAGAAAAGAGAGGCACACACGAAAACAACCATGATTAGTTTTTTTTAACCAAGTTGTGAAGCTGGGTAGAAGAACAGAACTACTTCCTTTAAAGTGAATCGTAATTTTAAAGTAAGATCTAATCTAATAATTGCTAGAGTTATAGAATTATCAGTGCAACTAGAAAATGGGAGAAAGCAGAAAACACAGTCTACGGTTCTGTTATTTGGGAGCAGGTGAATTATACATGCTTTAACACTGAAACTGAGAAATTAGATTTAAATATATGTGAGATATATAGAGAAATAGACGTTACATTTATTTCATATGCACATACATGACAAGGGAAAAATAAGATGTTAACTTCAGTTTATGAGAAGAGATCAAAGTGCTGAACCTATTTCATCTGCATAGCAACAAGAGGTAAAGAGAAGGACATCAAAGGCTGTCTCTTGTGTCAGAGATAAACCCCTCTGTTCAGGCCGGATCAGATAGAGATATATCCGTTGCTTTGTTGGAAACTGAAATAAGTGAAAGAGGCAGTCAGAAGAGTGGCAGAAGTGGGGCCAGACATACTGATTTCAGTAAATTTGGCCCAATCTCCCTTTCTAAAGACAAAAACTTCTCAGTAACTTCAAAAATATTAAATATGTGGTCCTTCCAAGAAACTTGCCTCAAATAACGGATATAGCAAATACTAAATTAACACACAAATGTTGCCATCTCTCTCTCTCTCTCTCTCTCTCTCTCACACGCGCACACACATGCGCACACACACACGCACAAAATAGAATTGAAAAAAATTACCAAGCATGTAAGAAAGCTGCTTTTATTTTTGTGTTGGTACAACCCACACTGAAGCCAAAAGATTGAGGAGAACAGTCCATGAGGAGGCAGAGAAGAAGTACTCCCTGCACAGGGAGAGGAGGGGAAGGAGAGGCAACGGCGGATACCCGGGCAGCTTCGCTGGCCCGCACCCTTCTCCCACTCTGCAGTCTCTCCGATCTGCCAGGCCTGAAGGGGACCCCGAGACGGCACGCACCACGTCATTTTTCCACATCTGTCTTTCAGGTATCGACTCATTGGCAAGTCATCTGCCGAATGTGTCATCTCGGGGAGCGCTGTCAGCTGGGACTCACAGCCACCGATTTGCGAACGTAAGTCGAAATCTCCTCGCCCATTCATCCACCAGTTAGCCCTAGAGTTGCCCCCATACCCCCCAATTTAGGGAGAATAAATCTCACCCTCTTGGAAATTTCGTCCTTCTAATATCTGAAGAATTCAATAGTATCCTTAAAATTTCCTGCAGCATTTCAAATTTCTAGACCCCCCTGCTATTTCCTCTTTGTGCAGCATAATTTATTTTAAACTACAGTTGTTACTTGGTATCTGTAGCAGGTGATTCCTGGATCCTGTGCAGATGCCAGAGGCCACAGATGCTCCAGTCTTCCATAAAATGGCACAGCAGTTGCACATAACCGGACACATCCTCCTATACGCTCTGAGTCCTCTCTGGTTCACTTATAACTAGTGCAGTATGGCTGTCCCATGAATAGTTGTCATGCTGGTTATTTAGGGAATGATGACAGGGAAGACTTCTGTGCCTATTCGGGATATTTCCAATCCTTGATTGAAATGTGGATTGGGGACCTGTGGCTTTGGAGGCCAATAACGTAGTCTTGAATTCTTGTTCTACAACCCAGCTTCCGCCGCCGCGGTGAGCGGAGCGCTTCCTAGTGTGAAGGCACTCTGTCTGGTGGAGTGAACACAGAGCTAGCGAGAGCAGCTCTTCGGGCTCCCGGTGTGGGGGAAATCCTACCCTTGTCTGATCGATGACCTGCCGTCTTCGCTGAGAGCTGAGTGCAAGCGAGCTAGCTCCCTGCGCTGAGGGGCAGAGAGGAACAGGGGGCGGCACCATCCCAGACCAGCGAGGGCCTCGGCAGGCGGTGACCCTGGGCGAGGCGGTGTTTGGTGGGTGGGGAGAGAAGTGGAAACCCGCCCTCCGGGAGCGCAGAGGCTGTGTGCGAAGGGTCAGAACCCTAACCCACGTCCTGCCCTAACCCACGTCCTGCGTTTGCGATAGACTCTGGAGAGCCGTGGCGAGTTTGGGCCGAGGCCCACTTCACGCGTGCCCCCCGTGCTGCTCGCCATGATTCCAGTGGTGGCAAAGGTGCGGGCAACCTGAATGTGCTGAAAGGAGCAAGCATGTGTTCTGTTAAACTTAAAAAAGCTTAAATGTGCCAAAATGAGGCAGACCGCAGAGGAGTTCTTCCAAATGGAACTGGGTAGGATGACTTTGTAGTGAATATTGTTCAGCCCAAAAGTATTTTAGAAAACTGTTTTGTGAGGGCCCTGTGTGGTTTTGTGTAGGAAAAAATTCACATGAAACACTTAGCTAGATAGCAGCCTTAAAGGTGATTTTTTTATTCATCTACATTTTATAAAATTTCTCTAATAAATATGTATCTTCTTAAATATTATCTTATTTTAAAGAAATAAGTAAGTGCCTAATATAGGATATGCCTGTCAAAATAATGGAAGTAGTTTATATGTTCTGCAGTTAAAATGCCTGGCAGTGGCCTATTACTTAACAGTTAAATTTGTCTTGAGAAATAGTTTCGCATCATATCTTTTCAGGAGTAGCATCTGTCATACATTTTTCTATTTCTTCTGCATTGGTGGGGTATTCAAAGTTTCTACCTTTTCTTGAGTTAACATTGGCAGAATATCTCTATTTCTAATACTTTCAAATTTGCATAAGTAGGGTACAGTACTCTGTTTTTATTACAGCTGCATCTGCAATTACTGTGTCTATTATATGCAGTATATTTGAGTTTGCCTGTTTTAGTTAGCGCTGCTGGAGCATTTTGTTTTTTCTTATATATAATGTTCTTATATAAAGATGCTATACTGTCTATCTTAAGTTACGAGTAACCAGCAGAATAAAACCAAATGCTTTCAGTAGAAAGAGAAGCGAATTAAGTGTGGTAAAGGAACATAATTAAGTTCTCATTGAAAATGACAAATAAATGTGTGCTATAAGAAGATATGGATACATTTAATTGAGAACAGCATAATACAATGGTTACCTAAGCTGCAGCTGCACAAAAATATGTCTGTATATTGGCAAAGATCAGATAAGGACAGTGTTGTGAATACCTGTGATTTACATTGGCCACCAAACTTTTCAGTTAAATATAATTTTAGGAAATTGGAATTCTATTAATTTGCTATCTCTTTTGAAGAGATTCCGTGCGAGCCGCCCCCGGCCATTGCCAATGCAGATTTCGTTAGCACCGACCGAGAAAACTTTGTCTACGGAATGGTGGTGACCTATCGGTGCGATCTTGGAGAAAGGGGGAAGAAGGTCTTTGAGCTCGTGGGGGAGCCCAGCATATACTGCACCAGCGAGGATGACCAAGTGGGCGTCTGGAGCGGGCCCGCCCCTCAGTGCATTGCGCCTAACAAGTGCACACCGCCGCGTGTGGACAATGGGGTCATGGTGTCTGAGAACAGAAGCTTCTTTTCCTTACATGAAATCGTGGAGTTTACGTGTCGGCCCGGCTTCGTCTTGAGGGGGCCCTCGCATGTGCGGTGCCAGGCCCAGAACACGTGGGGGCCGGAGTTACCGAGCTGCTCCGTGGGTGAGTGGGACCCAGGCTGGGAGCTGTGGGAGCCCCGGGGGTCCGTGTGTGTTGTTGCAGGTGTGTAGTGAGCAGCTTGGGTTAGTCTGAGGGAAGTTGTGCTTACACTGTTATGTACGCTTGTAGATGTGTCTTCACTTTGGGAAGGGCGGTAAGAGCCAAGAAGGGAACTTCTTGGGACTGTCTCGTCGCATGCGTCTTGGGGAAGTGCTGGCTGTGTTAACTGTGCAATTGCAAAGAATCCCATGGACTTTCCGGGTGCTCACGTGCTAAACACTTTCACACACATTGTCGCATTGTCGCTTTACTGCAACACTTTGAAATAGGGCTAGTGTTGTATCCATTTGATATGAAGTTGGCTTGGTCTTTCAGAGGTTAAATAAAATGTCCAAGTCACGTGCAGAAGTGACAAGTCCAGGATTAAAAAAGGCAAGTGTGTCAGACCCCAGGGCCAGAGCGCTCTGGTTCTTGCCCTAGTTCTATCAGTGAGAGGAAGAAACTGGCTTATGAAGACAGATATAGCACCAGAGCCAGTGAAAGGACCTTGGAGTCTTATAATGATCTAGTTCCTACATTTTATCATTAGAAATCTGAAGTCAGGGGTGTCTTTAGTAACTTGCTCAAAGCCAAGCCTCTTTTCCACTCATCTTACTTAGACATGGATTAGGTCGATGTTCAAACATGTTCTGATGCTAAAAGCTCCCGCAAAAATAAACCAAGGCGACTGTGAGTCCAATACCTTACAAGGACCGACTCAGCCAGGGGCCCCGGTTCCTGACGGCTCATCTTGTCTTCTTGTGCTCAGTAGCTGGCTCAGCGGGAGATTGGTAGGGTGTCGTGGTGGATGCACGGGCAAGAAGGAGTCCAGAGTTCTTCGACAGACCTGTGACGGCCTTGTGCAGTTGCGAGGAGAGCTGTGTGGAAGACAGATGTGAGCATGTCTCCGTGACTGCTGCAGTCCCAGGCAGGCTGCCAGCGAGATGAGGGGAAATCCGCTGAAGAGGCTTGGTCTGGACAGCTTCCTCGTGGCCCGAACAGCGACTCCGAACTGGAGTTGCCTTCCTCAGAAAAATGTGGTGGAGCAGCGGACAGTACTAACAGCCCTGTTTGCACAGCTACGGCAAGGAGAAGGGACCTTGGGCCTTGTCAGGGTATCAGTGAATAGAGAGACCTGTGCCAGCGGAAGTGGCTCTGTTTCTCTAGCTCTCTTGCTAGCTACGGACCTTTGACACTCTTTTGCCTCTTCTTAACCTCCCCCTTAGTAAAGATGAGGCAGGTGGAGCATCATCCAACTTCCCCTTTGAGTTACTCAGCTTTCCATTCCAGTGACAGATCCCTGGGATAAATCAACCCATAGGGTAAAAAACAGCTTCTTTGGACTCACAGTCATGGAGGTTTGAGCTCATCATTGGTGGACCCATTGCTTTTGGGCCTGTGACGAGGCAGCGCCTCGTGGAAGGGAGCGTGTGGCCGAGCACTTTGTTTGCCTTCTGGAATGAAGCAAAAGACGGATCTTACAATCCCTACGAGGACAAAGCTCCAGTGACCTAAAACTTTCCACTGGGCCCTGTATCTGAAAGGCGCCCCACTCCCACTAGTGGCCTGGGCTGAGAGCACGGGAGCCGGTGGGGAACCCTCCAGATGGAGCGTACAGCCGTGAAGCTCGATTCTCCAACTCTGGGAAAGGCTGCTGGCTTAGCAGGAGTTCCCCCAAAACTAACAGGTTCTCTGGGCCCGATCTTCCCACAGAGTGTCAGCCGCCCCCCAAAGTCCCGCATGGGCAGCACACCCCCAGCAGCGAGGACTTCTCCCCCGGGCAGGACGTGTCCTATAGCTGCCAGCCGGGCTTTGACCTCCGAGGGGCCACCTCCCTGCACTGCACCCCCCAGGGGCACTGGAGCCCTGCGCCCCCATCTTGTGTAGGTGCGTGGTGTCTTGGCTGGTTCTGCGTCCTGTTCTTTGCCACACACGCAGGCGGGCTTACTCCTGGTCACTTTTCTTTCCTTCCTTGTAGCGATATTATGTGATATCTTCCCAGACCAGCTCCCTAATGGCCGTGTGGCTTTTCCACCGAACCACCAGCTTGGAGCGAAAGTGTCCTTTACTTGTAATGAAGGGTGAGTACGACCCAGAGACCGGTGCTGGAGAGGGACTCTCGAATTCGATGGCTAATACAGGAAGAAGGCTGACCTGGTGAGAAACAAGTTTGCGGGGAGGTACACTGCTGGAAGGCCAGTTTCCCGCTGAGGGGAAGGAAGGGCTCCTTGGCAACACTGTCAGGACTCAGTGCCGAATACAAACATAGATACATTTGCTCATACTGAAGTTGAGGCTGAAACGGGAAGTGAATGGATCAGTAGTTCTTTGGAGGTGGAAAATCACAATTTTATAGGAGGTTGCTAGAAAAAATGCTGGATGAATGCAACAAAAATTGTTCGGCCAGTAATAAGCCAGACAAGGGTTGTTTCCGGCACGGGAGGCCAGTCCGTAGTGAAGTTTGTAACAGCGCGTGGATGCATATGTTTTAATCCAGTCACGTAACTATGTCAGGGTTGGCTTTCACAGGAGGACCACAGTGGGCCACAGTTACTGTGAATCCACTGCTCTGGGCAGGGGGCTTCGCTGCTCTGTGGGAAGCAACGCGATTGGATGGCAAGGCCATTCTTTTTAGTAGTGCCTTATTAGATTATTGGCATTTGCAAAGTCTGCTACCCAAGCTCAATTTCCAGTTCCAGAGTGACTGTAGATTTCAGCCTATTTCAGGCCAGCAGGATCCGATGACGAGCTGGGTGTTTCAGAGCAGTGGATGTTCCCCTCCGCCTCTCTCTCCCCAGCTCACCCGTTGTCGTCGTGTAGCGAGGAGAACGGTGCCTGTTCTCTTTCCAGATGTTTCCTCCTGACCCACTATGGAGCGAGTGCAGTGTCACGGGCTCTCAGTGCATGTGCGCTCTGAGGTCTCATGCCCTTGGGAAGCCTGGTCCGTGCTCAGTGCCTTGGTCAGGTGAAGGTGGACCTGGAAGGACATGTAGGATTCAGTGTACCAGCTGCGATCTCATTGCCGGGTGCAGGGTGCCGCGGTTCTTCAGGGTAATGTGGACTCTGGGTCTGTCAGCTGCTGACTTCAGACGTCTTAGTGAGCTGAGACTTTTAGCTGGGCCTGAACCTGCAGCCTGTGCCCTGGGCAGAAGTTAGGAAGCTGAGCGTCTGTCAGTGAAATGAGAAAGGGGTAGATGGGGAAGGCTCACCCATTCGCTCCCCACTTTCTTTTAGGTTCCGATTAAAAGGCAGCTCTACTAGTCATTGTGTCTTGGATAGAATGCAAAGCCTGTGGAACAGCAGTGTTCCTGTGTGTGAACGTGAGTAGGAAAGAAAATCCGGCCTGGGACAGCACTCCTGACTTCTTCCCAGCGTTTGCCTCAGGGAATCACTCACCTGGGGTCCGGTGATGCTCTACACCGAGACATTACTGATTGTTCAAGGCCAGATTTATTCTTTTTAATTCCTGTTTTCTAATGATCAGAAAAACGTTCTTTTCAATCTAGATTTATGAAAATACCTTGCTGGTAATCTGTCTGGCTGTCATATGCTGAGTATAGGGTGAAACTTTATAAAAACATTCACTGCATAGGAAACTCAGATATCCAACAGATGCAGCCTTCCAGAGACACATACAACTGAAAATAAGTATAACTAAACTTGAGATGAAGACAGATAAGTAAATTTTACATATAAGAAATGAATCACTGATGTAGTAAGGCTCTTACATGTTTATATGCAGAATTATGATAAACAGGTTTATCTGTTATCAAATTCACGTCAGATTATAAGCATCAAATTAGTTTTAAGGAAAGAACTGCTTCAAACATCTACACTAAAAGCAGGAAGAAATGATAGCTGGTAGTTTGAATGAATGATAGGGAAAAAAACCAAAAAGAAAGGTCTCGAGAGCCATATAATCGCTATAAAGAACTCTGTCGTTACAGACTGATGATACCACTGTATATTTGGTATTGGTATTGAGGACAATGGACTTGATTCACCCAGAAACATTTACTAAAGAGGCTGGCACATGCTTCAGAAATTTCTGTCTAATTTAAGGTCTCTAAGGACCGAAACCTCACCTGTCACATTGTTGACCCAGGACTATCTCTGTGCCTGATGTAAAGTCGCAAATCAAGTGGTCGTTAAAAGCCAAATATTTATCTCCCAGATTCATGGAACACTCAGCCGTAACACAGGGACAGGGCATCATTCTGGTGTTAGTTATCTTGGTTGAAACGCTAATAGAATTGAAAGCTCTTAATCTTCTTTCTAGAAATCTTGTGTCCAAACCCTCCAGCTATCTTCAATGGGAAGTACACAGGCACTTCTCTGAGGGAGTTTCCTTATGGAGAAGAAGTATCTTATGCGTGCAACCCCCAAGCAGACCGAGGGATGACCTACAGCCTCATTGGGGAGAGCACCATCCGTTGCATAAGTGACAGTCAAGGGAATGGGATTTGGAGTGGCCCTGCCCCTCACTGTGAACTTTCTGTTCCTGCTGGTCAGTACCAATTTCCTCCTATGTCCTAGCGGGCTAGTAATCTAGGCAAGACTCTCCCTGTGTTCATAGTGGCGGCATGCTTGCTTGTGAACATGGCTTTATTATAAATGGCACACAGAGCTGCCTTCTAGGTGAATGACAGATGGGTTCTAGATATATTGCACTGTGCCCTCATTGGTACCATTCTAGCTGGGCTTGGTACTACTCGTGTGTAGTACCAGTTACTCAAGAGGCTGAGACACGAAGATCTGTTGAGCCTAGAAGTTCAAGACCAGCCTAGACCTCATCAGGGGAAAAAAAAAGCCAAAGTTGATGTAGATCAGTTTGGTGATATTCTGGTGGCTCTTCCTGCGTGGCAAGCATGCAGGATGGAGGATAAGCTCCAGATTTCATAGGGGATTGAAAGGAAGTGTCAAAGGAAATGCTCTTTGTCGACATCTCTAGCACCAGTTGTCTTTATACTACAGAGATGGCTATGGTGAGCAAAGGTCGGGGTCATGATTACTTCAGAACTGAGCAGGCTATGGAAGCAATTAAACTCAGTGTAGGCTTGGATACTGTTTGTTACTCCCAAGTGTTTCATGGGAGCCCCTCACCCACTGCATGGCTGTTCAGTTCGCCATGAATGCGGGGAGTGCAGGCAGCCGTAGAGAAGAGGAGGTTAGGGCTGTGCTCTTAGCCTCGATGGTGCATTCCTTGTCCGTGTCTGTGGCTCATGTGTGGCTGCGTGGCCTACACGGGCTCTCCATCCACCAGGAAGGACAGAATAGCATGTGGCTTCCACCTGATGCACTGTGCAGGCAGAGAATACGGAAGATCGTGTGCAGATGCGGAGGTCTGGGCTACACCATCAGTCGTCCGCTCATTAGCTAACCCACAATGCAGTGTAACCCACCTGTGCCACGTCTTTGTGCACCTCTAGTGGCCAGAGATGTATGAGTGTTGACGTGTCACACTTGTATATTTAACCGGAAGTCTCTCTTTGTGTTTGTGTGGAAATGTGTTCTTAGCATGCCCACATCCACCTAAGATCCAGAATGGGCATCACATTGGAAAGCATGCATCTTCCTATCTTCCTGGGATGAAATTCCTCTACACTTGTGACCCTGGCTACCTGGTGGAGGGATCTGACTTCGTATTCTGTACGGACCAGAGAACCTGGAGCCGACTTGATCATTTTTGCACAAGTATCTGATTTCTTCGTATTTCTTATCCTTTCTGAGTTATGGAAAATGGATGCAGGAGACTAATGAGTCTGAGCGATCGCTGAAGTGATGTTGATTTAATAAGGTCGAGAAGATAGTGAGATGAGTATCAACAGAAGGGGAAAAGAAGAACAAAAAGCAGGAAGGAGGCTGCCCCAGGATCCTAGTCTGTACCCATGCGTGCCATTAGGGGAAGGGACTTCCGGGAACGCAGTGGCTGTCACACACCACTTTTCAGTGCTCTGCTGGCTTTGAACTGATAGCTCTGCAGAACCTCTGAGGGTCAGAGGTAGTCCTCATAGCGCCCTCAGAAGGCAGGTAAGTAACCGGAAGCATACTCTGTTAAGAGGCGATGGATGCCGGAAAAAGGCAGTGTCTCGTCCTCTGCAGATAAGCAGAAGAGATATTGAAAGCAAATAATTCACCCTGAGAGTGAAGTCTCTTTGTAACCCTCAAGGCCGAGGGTAGAGTGCTTATTTATCTGCTGCATGAAACAGTTCTCCAAGAATTATTTCCTGCATTTCGGGCCCTTGTTTTCCATACAAACAGAGAACCTGCAGCTGACTTGATCGTTCTGGCACAAGTGCCTGATGTTTGAATCTTTCCTAACAGCATTCTAAAAAGCTACAAATAGTGCATTAAAAATAATAGGACTAGGCAGTGTTCTGAGGTCTTCACAAAAGTAATTAATGTTAGAGTCCAAAAGAATCTGGTGAAGCTGTATTGTTATTCTTGCCGTCCAATGTTAGAGGAAATTGAGGTCAGAGAGATCTAATAACTGGTTCAAGTTCCACAGCTTGTGAGCGGCTGTCCAAGGATGGGGCCTCAGCTCACGTGCTGCTTTTAAACGCTGTTCTAAAGAACTGAAGAATGCCCCTTCTTAACTGTGTTTCTTTGGGTGTCACAAAACTACAAATGATTTTTTCTTGCTTTGTATATTTTTGCCTAGTCTTTCTTTTTAGAAATACTAGGCTAAGGGCAGGGATGACATGGGCGATGCCTCAGACAGGCCTAAACATGTTTCAAATGTTGGAGAACAGCTAGCTAGGGCTCTCCCTGTCCCCAGACTCTCAGAACCCCTCTCGTGCTCCTCAGCCTCTCTTAGCGACAGAAAACGAGGCCGAGTGCAGACGGGGTAATTGTGCTTACGGGCGAGAGGAGACTGCACGAGATGCACCGTCCGCAGGGCTCTACACACACCTGGAACCTCTTCCCTCCTGGCTTCAGTTGCCTAAAAAGAAGGTGAAAATTCAGAAAATGTTTGAAAGATGCAAGCTGAAACTCTGGGAAGGTCCTCCTGAAAATAGAAGGCCAGTACTTTAGTCTCTTGGTAGCTGCTTCCCTTTCATTTACATGAAAATCATTTTGTCCTATAACGAGCCTCTTGGAGCCTGCTTTAGTTTATAGCAGGGCATCCTTGGCACCAGCAAATCAGCCCTTTCCAGAGACTCTGATTCTGCTTAAAGAAGGTATCAGAAGTCTGTTTTTAACAAATCTGCTATGATATTCTGACACAGAGCGGCCACAATACCTTGAAGAAGTACCACTTTACCTCATTGGTGCTTATGAAGAGAAAAATATTTGGGCTGATTCTGAGGCTATTTACAGTGGAAAAGGAGGCTTTGCTGAATTTGAAGTAGTTCTTGATGGCTGGGCAGAAAAAGCAAATCAAAGGATGAGTTAAAAAGACAAAGTAAACTGGGCTGGGGATGGAGCTCAGTGGCACCAGGCCTGCCTCACAGCATAAGGTCCTGAGATCAATCCTGGTACCGAAAAAAAAAAAAAGACAAAGTAGATGAAGTATAATAATGATGTTTTTGGTTTTTAAGTTGTTCTTTTTCATTTTCTTTTCATTTTTTGTTGTTTAAAAGTGATATTTTAAATTCAGAATCATGGCTTACTTCTTTGTATAGAAATGGGACAGAAATGTCTGTTACAGCAAGAGCCAAACATACCAGGGTGTATCTAAGGTCTGATTCCAGTGGGTCCATGGCTAGAATTTGGTCGTCCTAACTCCTGTTCCTCCTATGACTTTCCAGTTGCGAAGTTGTTAATAAACATATTCCATAGTCCCTTACTGTACATACGAAGTGAAAATCAGAAAATTTTAAGGCCTAAGATGTTCGGGGTGGGGAAGGGTCAACAACTTGACTAATAACATGCTGTACCTTTGAGGAAAGCTGAGTACGTTTAGGGTCATAGATCTCTAACCTGAGTGATTGTCAGTAATAACACAGCCATTTTCTTCTGGGTTTTTCTAATTCCAGAGGTAAAGTGTAGTCTCTCAAATGAGCTTATGAATGGAGTCCTGGAGGAGCTCACACTGAGAAGAGAATATCACTATGAAGATGCCGTCACGTTGGTGTGTAAGGCTGGGTTCACCCTGGACGGCAGGGCCCACAGCCAGTGCCAGGCAGATGGCAGATGGAATCCTCCCCTGGGCAGGTGCACCTCTGGTGAGTGCGAGAACGCGGCAAATGAGGGAGGCCCTGTTTAGCCATGTACTGTTCCTACATCATGTGCACAGCCCACAGCCCCCACGCGTGCTGCGATGGTACAGCTCATGCTAATGCAGGCCCGAGGACAGGTACCATCTCAGAATACGCCTGCGTGCTGTGTTGGTCATTTCAAGCTGAAATCACTCAAAGAACCATAACTGCAGGTAGGGCCATTTGGCCATCAGCAGCGTTTTTAAAGATTCAGGAGGTGGAGCTTTGTGGTAGAGCATTTGGCAAGCATGTACAGGGCCGGGATTTGATCCCTGGCACTACAAGAAAAAAAATTATTTTAGGAGGGGTGTCTTACTGATACCGAGGCAGGAAAATAACCTCAGTCAGTAGAGACTGGAAATTGGGGCTGAAAAAGCCTCGGTGAATGAAGTTATTGGAATAAATTTATGTTGCATTAGCTTTTACATTCCCCACCCGTATGTTTCTTAATGATAGCCGTAGAGCTTACCCTCAACCACAGAGCCCTTTGACCTCTCGTTCCTTCACAGATTTGTTGCTCTTTGTCTAGAGTATAAAACCATCTTGCTTAGATAATGTCTTTGGCTTTCTCTTCCTTGTGAAGGTCTTTAACATGCAAATTTAATAAAACTCGTATGCTTTTTCCTTGTTCATCAGCCTTATATCAATGCCTTTATGCCAAAGGTTGAAATTTCTTAAATTTTGCATGAAATTCCTATATGCTACCTGAAAAAATTGAAGGGACAGAATTTGAAGAGAATATATTTCATTGTGTTCCGCTGCTATGGGTGTTCCAAAAACGGATCCCTGGGCACTGACGGGTAATCTGGGTCTAGATCTAGCCTAAGAGAATGCATAAGAACCGAGGGGGTGTCACAGGGATCTCTTTTCCCCTGCACTAAGAGCTAAGCATTGTCAGTCCCCCTTCTCCCCTCACACTTTTCACCCACCTGGCTCTCTGGAGGACCCCGCTGCCTTGTTCTGTCTGTCCCTTAAGGATTTATTTACAGCCTGTGAGTCTTCAGAGCCGGGAGCATATCAGCAGAAATGTAGGCCTGTAAGAGTTGAGCCTTCCCAGCGGCAGCAGGCCGCCTCTGCACTGTTGTGCAGGGTGTTACAGCAGGCCCGTTTAGAAATGCTGCTTCATCTGGCAATTTAATAGAGCTGGGAGGTAAAAAGCACAAAAGTGTGAACTCGTACAGGTTAAGGGGCAGATGAGCAAAGATAAGAACAAATAGTATTTTTAAATCTGAATTAGTGCTAGACTTCCCTCCCTCCCCAACTCTTAAGTTTCTTATTTATAATGCATGTCATGCACCAAGTGACAGCCGCCTGCCTGCAGTGGAACCCCCGCCCAAGCAGCCCCGCTGCCCACATCCACTGGAGCACAGAGATAACAAGCCAGCCGCACCCTGCTGCTCTCGCTGCCCGCCCTGTTTACCAGCCAGCCCCAGGCCCGTCACCAGGGGTCGCTAAAACTGCCCACCCTCTCGACCACTGCCCCGTATAACCAGGAGCACCCTCCTCTCAGTGCCAGCGGCCTCCTCGCCCTTGGCCCATCTGCACCCAGGCGGTGATAAGCTCATCGCATGTTGCTTGGCTGCCTCGGCGGTCTCAGTCGTGGCTTGGTCTGACCTTACACCAAGGATTGTTCATCGTCCATTTTTTTTTACAATTAATCCCTTAAAGTTGTTAACTGCATGTTTCTAAATTACAAATTCACCATCTCCCCAGTAGCAAATTATATTCACTTCTTTGGCAAAAAGTTCACGGGGTAACTGATTATCCTTAGAAGTTCTGAGAATCTTGCTGGACTGACAGATAATCCAGTTCATTGGAGAGCCAACCCCTACCATATATTAAAGGAAAACATAAGGGCATCATACCTAACTCACTTTGCAGTAGCACCAAAATAAACATAAAAGTAAATGGAGAAAATGTATCTCCATAAGATAAAAATTTATTATAAGTTAAAATGAAATTGTTTCACAGGTATAATAACAGGCATTATAAATCCATAAGAAAGAGAAAGTTATAATTAACATTGGAAAAATCTAAAACCTTTTTAAAGTCTTAAATATAAGATTAATAAGAGTTAGAACATTTTAAAATCAAGCTATAGAGAAACAAAATTTTTAAAAGCATATTTATCAAACAGCCAGGCCTGGATGCAGCTCAGGGGAAGAACAGGGTAGCCTCTGACCTTAGACCCTGGCTTCAACCTTAGCAGTTTGTAAAAGAAAAGAAAAGCCATTTTTTTAAACCAGAATAGGATTGGAAAAATCATAAAAGATGTTAACCTTTTTGACCTGTTGATTAGTTTGATTTAAACCTTAGCCTCTGAAAGAAGGTATTAGATAGTTGGGCAATATTGGAAGATACAATGAAAATAAGATCAGCCCAGAACTAGTGTTTGTGATAACAGTAATAACTGTAAAAGTCAATTTGTACTAAGCACATCGTGTATTGGAACGATTAGGGAATGATCGAGAGATAGGAGAGACAGATCCTAATTTAATGCTCACAATTTCTGAGGAAGATAGGACTCTTATTATCCCATTTTCCAGATATAGAAACTAAGACACAAGGGATTTAAGTAATTGCCCGAGATCACACAGTAGGGTAGCCTGGGTCCAGATGGCCTGTCTAACCCACCTCACCTACCCGTCGTGCACCTTAACAATGAGTAAGTGGGCAAAGACGCTAAATGTGCAGTTCAGTCAGAGAGAACATGTGGTGTTGGTCATAATGAAAGGAAAGCTGTGAGGCCAAAGTCACCAACAAGACAGGAAGCAACAAGACAGTTCCCCAGACCAGTGGAGAGACCCACACAAAAAGTAAGGATGGGCCGCGCAACTGTTAACCAGTGGGTTCTTGGAACTCACACTTTAGTATAAGCTCCTGTGAGCTCTTTTTGTGCCTCTGGACTATGGCCCAGAGTTCAGCAATCCCCTTTCCACTAAATTCTTAGTCTCTTCACTGGGTCGGTCTATTGGTAAACTTTGAGATCTTACTGTTTTCTTGTGAGAAGAGGCAAAAAAAAAAAAAAAAAAATGTA